TATGGCCGGCTGGATCTTCTCTGGTGTACTATATCCCTTTATTTCGGCCAATTTCTACTATTTTTCCAGCGATCCGCGGAGCCTGGTAGAGGCTAGGCTTGTGTGTGTGTGTCTTTATCCACAGAATGTTGATAGCACATGTATCGGGAAGATTGACAGGCAGAATGGCAGGAGGTCAAAAGGTCAGACACAGGAAATATGGTGAAGCTGTAGTTCACAAGAACCCAAAATACCTCAAAGTTTAAAATCTCCCATGGCTTGTTTCCTAATGGTTTTGAATCAAAGTACACTGGGTCCAATTTTTCAACAATGGCATTTATTTAAAGCAAGCAGGTGGCAACTGGGTTTTTCTCCCCCCCCCTCCCCCCCAAAGCTTGGTACAGAAATATGTTGCATTTGCTAGCAAATACCAGCCCATTCATCTCTTCCCTTGAACCTGTTGTGTCCTGATAAACAGCTGTTTGTACTTCTAGCTGTGTAGGAGGAAGAGAATGTGAAGCATGTCACTGGGACATGTACAGTGATAGTGGCCAAGCTGCATATTGTAGATAGATAATAATGGTCCATTCATGATGAAAATAGGTTTATCAGTTGGCTTCTCTGCCAATATTTTGACCTTGCAGCGTGCAAAATACCTGGTTGCCCAGTTGTCCCGGGCAACCAAATTTTACTTGGGGCAACCTATTTTTGAACCTAGGTAGTCCAGTGTGCTACTGAATTTTAAGAATCCCCCCCCCCAAAAAAAATCATGCCCACTTGGCTTGCATTACTGTATCCGGCAGATGCTTTTTAATTTTAGGTATTAATGGCTATTACTAGTATCAGTTAACTAAAGGCTGTTACACATGTTGTCAAAGGCTTATGTATGTAACATTACTTAATTTGAGGGATGTAGTTACAGGTGGGGCTACCTAAAAGTCTGATGGGCAACCTAATTTTAGCTGTAGGTTGCCCACTGGGCAACCTGGTTCAAAAAAGTATTTTGTACACTGTCTTGAGACATGTGCAGCAATGAATTTTATAGCATCTGTAAATAATTAATCTGAAATTGTCTTTAGACCATCTTGGTCCAGGTAATCGTGAAATATATCTCAGAAGCAGGGATGGAACTTGAGAATACTTGCAATTGTCAAGCCCCATTACTCAAAACCAATCAGAACTGTTGCCTATTTTCAGGCCTATATTTTAAGTGGATATTGAAATTCCAGTCATATTTATAGTTGTCTACCTAGATGAATTATCAGAAGATCATTTAAGTTAACCAGACCTAGAATTGGACACCAGACTAATTATTACAGGCTGTTGGTGTAAACTAAAAAGAAATGCTTGCCCCTCTTATACTACTCCAAAAACGTGACACCATGCAACTTAGCTTGAAATCTACAGAGAAGGCCTTGAATGAGTTTACCCCTGTGCAGTGACCCATTTTGACCTCTCCTGTCAGCATTATGTGAGTTGTGTACAAAGAAAAGGTCAGATTTCCGTTTCTTCTTCAGTGTTTAAGAGAAGTGTTGACCGTACGTGCCACATGTCAAGCATAATGGCTGTACTTGTTTGTGATGTACTTGTTTTCCAGTGTTGACTCTCTTTTCAGGCAATTTCTCCTTTTCAGGCTGTTTGCTTTTCTTTGTACATATACTGTAGTTGCAAGTAGATACACGATTTTAGTGCTAAGGAAAGTCATTGCGCATTCATTAGACTAGAGCTACATCATACTACCCACATGTACATGTCTGACAATTTGAGGAAATACGTTTTTGATAACCCCTAAGGCCACACCAATTTATTTCCTTGGTTAACGGATTCGCCGCTTCGTTTTTTTGCCAAAATGAAGTAAAAATAAAAACAGAACAAAAATCCATACTCTCGGGTCCGGAATAAACGTACCGGAACGTTTATTTTTTGGGGCCCAAAAATCCACCTGGTACGTTGTAATTTTTCAAAATTTGTGCATAGTTAACAGCATTTAAAATACATTGCTTCAAGGCAGAAACATTTTTCTGACTGCAATTTGTTGGGAAAGCTAGGTTGCCTCTTCAAAAGTTCGTCAAATTCTTTTGATATAGAACTCGCCCCCCACCCCCTTTGCACATGTCACCATTCATGGGACAAAACTTCACTGACGACAAACGTACGGCAGATTTACTAAGTCATTGTACCTGTAACAACATATCATCTCCCTTTTAGATATATATAGTATATTTAGGAACACGTATTGTGTCGGAAACATGTGCTAGTAACGGGCGTTAGAAATTATCGGCCGAACGTAACTCGGCCTGGGCGGCACATGCACACACACCTTCAAAACAATCTTTTTTCCAGGGAATATGTAAAAATAACACGACATAACAATGTATTCTGGCATCACAAACTGTATTACTCTCAAAAAGTACAAAATCCTACCACAAACATGGGAATTTGGCAAAGTAAAAAGTCCTCCATGCACGTATACGTAAGTCCATTCACTAAAGCAACTTTTTCTCACGGTCGGAAGAGTCCACTTTGAGTAGGGGGAAACAGGTCCTTTTAATTATAGAAATTACTCTGTGAAAAATACTACATGTGCATGTGGCATTCTAACAAAGTTACATCTTATTTAAATACCTATAAACAGGAGTACAATTGCAAATAATGCATCAATTATTACATCTAAATTTTTGATTAAAATGGTTCCCCCTACAAATAAGAAATCCCCCTACATCAAACACTTTATAGTGAAACCCTAGACCATTGAATTTGTGGCAACTTGAAGAGTGTGTCAATGTGGCTATTTGTTTGAATGATGGCTATGTATAATGTAGCTGTAGCATACCTAAAGTGTATGACGGGACATATAAAATGGATACTACCGGTTAAGTATTTGGGAATTGGGGAAATATAAAAAAAGAAATAAAATATCTGTTAAAGTAGTTAATTCTTTTGCCAACAACTTTTACACATTCCTGGAAATTTGTCTAAAGCATATATTTAGGATATTGTAAATTTCAAGCTCTAAATAACTTCAATATCAGCCCAGCCCAGTGGTAAGCTGTGTGTCCTGAACTCTAAGAAAACAATGGGATCTGAACAGAGCACCCTGATTTAAACCATGCACTCTTTAGAACTTTGAAAGATGAAGAAAAGTGAAACCAATTGGATCGGAGTCTTGTCAACTGACAGTTTGTTGTTCACACAGTAAAGATGTGTATCTTCCAAAATAATACGAATAATTGTAAAGGGATGTAAGAGAAGTTGCTCATGTAGTAATGGTCCCTTCAGTTCAATAAGTGTCCAATATGATGTCTTATATCATTTTGTAACTTAACTTAATGGATTGCTTACTACATGGCTGTATGGCAGGTAGTCTCAAATTTTTATTTTTATTTTTTTTTCGCCCGCCCGCTCCATTTTTTTTCTAGAAAAATCCGTTAACCAAGAAATTAAATTGGTGTGGCCTAATCCAACCACTGAAAAGAAATTAGAATATTTTTTTCATTAAAATTTTCAGTTCAACCATATTTTTAAAGTTGTCTCACAGAAAATTAATTTTTTTTCCTGACAGCATACCAGTATGACCAAGGGTCAGGTTGGGAACAGAACCAGACATATGAAGGTGAGAATATTGTCACAGACATAACACTATCCCTATCCCGTACACAAGCAAACATCTGCAGTATGTAAGAAGCTGCTAGGGGGCTAACAATTTTACCCAACATAACCTATAGGCCTTTTTGCCTATCCTAAACTTTTCATACATTCACAGCATTTTTTGAGGGGTCAATTGTTAGATCTTTGCTACCCTTGGCAGAGATAGAACTTTTGCAGTACACTAGCCTGGGTGCCAAACCCATAGTACACTGGACACACAGTATCTTAGTGAGCCTGGTACTTTGTGTCCAGTATGCTGTGGGTTTGAAACCCAGGCTAGCAGTACACGATCTTTCTTACAGTTGGCAGATCCTCTTGATGTTGTATGGTTCTAGAATACATTGTATGTTACTATTTTTTATATCATACCCGGGCCGCGATAACGGGTTCCGGACCGGGTCGTACTTTACGGTACGGCCTGGTCCGGAACCCATTATCGAACGCTTCCATGGCTTCCATAAAACGATTCGAACGCGTTTCACCCTGACCGCGTGTGCCCCTTTCGAAAATTCGAATACAGAATCCGGACGTTGGAATTGATGTTGCATTTTAGGGTTTAGCGGCACCAACTTTTGGCTCATCTTGCATTGAAAGGCATGTTTTCTTGGGTGGGTATGACATAAATAAAATACAACACGGTGTATTCCGCATCGCCCTCGGTCCCGGCCCTCCCGCGAGTCGGATCGACCTGCGAGCCAATACCTCGGGCGATACGGAATACCCCGTGTTGTATTCTATATGTATCAAATGTGAAAATTCATGTAGGACTTGCCATCCAGTAGGAGACATATAATGGTCTGTCCCTAACCACTAGCAGCTGCACCACTACTGAATCTCCCCTCCATGCTCCATTTGCAGAGGTGGCATGAGAAGAGCCCTGTTGTGTCTAGTAACAGTAAACTCCCGCCCCTCATGTCAAGGTCTGGCTGAATATTCCTCCCACCTTACTTCATGGTACAAGCCTAACAAGGGGCTCCTTGTTCCTGCCCTTGTGTGGGTAGGATAAGTACTTCTCCATAAGCATGACAAACAGTTGCCTCAGCTGTCAACAAACCTCTACAATCTGTCAGGAGTTGGAGCAGGGAGTGGAGAGTGAACAGTTTATGGTTTAGAGGACAGACTTGACATAAATCAACAATGACAACATGTAGTTTTCTCAGCTGTCAGAATGTACATTGTACTTATAAACAGTAAAATGCATAACTCAAGAAGCTTAATATGCATTGTCATGAAACTTGGTAGGTGGGTAGGTCTTGATGAGACCTAAAAATGATTAGATTTTGGGGCCCCCTGGCGGCTTTTGTTGGTACTGCAAAAGAACTTCCGGTTTTGATATCTCACGATCTGGACATGCTAGGGTCTCGAATTTTGGTTGGTAGATAGCTCCTGGGGTAGGGAAGAAGTGACATGAGTTTGGGCCCCCTAGCAGCTTGTTCTGGAACTGCAGGAGCGTTTTTGGAAAAATCCTCGACGAATATCACATTATTTTTTTACCTTGTATATCAACTTTCATACAGCATTTGCAGCTGGACTACCAATGGTAATGCTGTTTGAATTCTCTTCAAAATTCTTTTTCTCGTAGTGTTCAAAATTTTCCTTGTAAGTTGTAGAGTTTTTTGCAATGGGTTACATTTTGTTACGCAAGCCATCTCTGCTGCCAAAAGAAAGAGGTCAGACACAGGAAATGGGGTGAACTTGAAGGTCACGAAACCCAAAATACCTCCCGGAAGTCTGAAATTTCCCATTTCTTGCTGAATCATTTTTTTGTCCATATTTCACAGGTTTTGACCCATCGCATACCCAGCCACAGGGACAGCAACCAGTTAGTGATGACTCCTTCCCCCCACCCCCTCCCAACCTCCCCCTGCCTCCCCCTCCCCCTGACAGCACCCTACCCCCTCCCCCTCCAGGGGAAGAAGAGGAAGGGGAGGTCTATGATGATGTCGCTGAAGGGGGAGCATCTTCAGCAGGTCAGTTTGTCTTGTCTCTTCTTCTTGTCAATGACATTCATTTGTCTATCCGTTAATCCTTCTATCCATTCATTCACTTCATCAGTCATCCATTTACTATTTTGATCGATTCACTCCTAGAAGTGTTCTGTTTGACAGAAACACTTGCAAGTCACTATTAATACATTATTGCCGAATATATTGTGATTATTATTTGGGTGGCTAAGCTGTGGGTTTGTGTATCTGTTTGTCCAGACAGAGTATAGGTTGATGCGTGTGGGTGGGGGAAGTTTGACAGGCAGAATAACAGGAGGTCTCAGAATCAGCATTGGAATTGGGGGTGGTCATGGGGGAATTCAGGAAGCAAGGGATTGCATATTTCCCGGGCATTTAAACTCTCCTGATTTCTTTGAATAGTAAAGTCCTTTTATTCAGAACCTCTATATTAGTCCAACATTTCAATGACCATCTGCCATCTTGGACATCATAGTCCTGATAAAGATGTCATCTTGTAACTAGAAGTTGTGAATAAAAGAACTTTGAAATTCCTATTCAATCATTGACCAACACAAGGAAATTATTTACAGAATTCTAATTTCTTGTTTCTCTTCTTCCCCAGGAGTATACTATGATGAAGAGGAGACGATTTATGAAGATGTTCCTAAGGAGGGAGGAGACTCAGACTCTGGGTCAGGCTGGGGGTCAGAAGAGTTCGAGGATTATTCCACCGACGATGAACGAGTCATCAGCGGCAGCGGGAAGTACGAATCCGTCGAACTTCCCAAAGAAGAGAAGGAGAAGGAAAAAGTTGGACGAAACCCAAGTTTTCATAAAAACGTAAGGAACTTAACTTCTTTTTCCTTAAAAGAGTTACTGTAGTAAGGTGAGACTGACTGACAGTAATAGTAAGGTCTTGTGCCTTCCTTAAAAAAAAGGTAGCCTGGGTACCATCCTGGTTAGTTAATACCTCCGCTCCCACAGTGGTTGGTCAGTAGCGACTGTGGGAGTGGACGTACAACAATGTAAACTAACCAGGATGGTACCCAGGCTAAAAAAAGGAATGGTGTTTAACAAAACCTTTAAACTTTTAACCCCAAGGAAATTTTTATGTCGTCTTAATTAAGAAAACCAAAGCACAGGTAAGAATTAAGGGAAGAAGTATGCAACATGTATTTATAGAGATTATAGTACCTATCTGGCACACTAGAGTCCTGTGTGATGGGCATTTTGGACCCGTTATTATTTCGTAGTTAACCTAAAAAATTGGGTCACTTCAACCAATTAAAACCCTGTTTCTTAACTCTGACCCCAAGTTACATTTGCATATTTGAACTTATACTTTGTGTCAAGGAGCTTCTATGTAGGACTCAGGTATTTCAATTTTCTATATCTACCACTGAATGCTGTGACTTCTATTTTGTGATAGAGCGAATTTAATAGTTTCGAGACGAAGACTTCTTTCTTCCAGTGATGTGATTGTAAAGAGTTAAAGGTAATAATTAAAAAGACATTTTCATCACCTTATCCCACGCTACAGTTAATGAATTGTTTGGAAGCAAGGGATGAGTCATTATGCATTCAGACAGGATCATGCAATTCCATCAAGAGATTATCCACATCCGTATAATAGAAGAAAAGGTACAAAAACTGATACTGTCAGTGAGTTGCAATTTAACAATATTTTTGGCACCAGTATCCCCCAAACAGTACTGTATACAGACAAGAATTCTATTATTCAAAGACATTAGAAGTAGCAAAATACTGCTAGTTAAATTATTTGATTATTCTATAAATCATATTTGTTACAAAACTTGTCAACTTTGAAGTAGCAGTAGGAAAGTTTTAAGCACTTCTTGACAAGATAGTATAGGTGTAGGTGTACGTGTAGATGATTAAATAAATGTATCATCCCAACAAGACAGTACATGGACCATCCCTAAAGGTGTGTGATCACAGGTAGCACAAGCTAAGGGTGACTGTTAAAATGACAGTCTAGTGATGCTGGTTGGATTCAGGTCTGTTCAAGTTTTTAAGGATGACATACATGTAGCAGTGCCACTGTCAATATGGCAAAAGGGGGAGGGGAGGGGAAGGTGACAGAGAAGATGGTAGGTAGACCCTCTCGAATTTTGGACATTTGCACGTTCTGTTATCTTAATCTGATCATTCACAGAAGTATTGAACAGAATTTTGACAGCTTTTAGTACAGGGTGACACTAACCTGAAATATTTTCAACTTTTTTCTTAAGGTTTTCACTGATTTTCACCGACAAAGTGTCTTGTACAGTCAAGACTTAGTGTTTTTGTCCGTATCGAAAAGATATCTACATGTAACTGTAATTTAAAAAATGAACTATTGTTCTGCCACAATATCAGAAGCAGACTGACCTGTAAGTGTAAAATTTATTGAGGTCCTTTAATAGCTTTGTTGTTAATAATATTGGCACGCCACTGTGAAACAGCAAGGTTGTTTATTAATAGTAAGCAAATATTGCCAGAAAACGGCTTTTTTTTTTCTGCCAGCTTCCTTCAGCCTGTTGTCTATAGATAACTTTCTTCTCATAATGACCCACCCATGGTCTATAGGGTATTACTTAGCTTTGTTAGCAGTGCAAATGACTGGGTGGTATGACTGCAGCAGCTACATGTAATTATACAGGGGAACCCGTTGAACAGGTAGGGGTGCCGGTCTTTTGCATAGCCTAGAAAACAACATGGCGGTAGTTTAAAGTGTACCACGTCACCAAGTTGTATACACTGGTATACTGTTGTGTTCATTCTCATGTATACAACACAGTCCAGGTATGTTGTTTTTAGTTTCAGGACATCCAGATATAGATTATTTTATAAACTCGTATAGCAGTTTTTTTAATGTATTTTGAAAGCTATGTGCAGTGGATACTTTTTTTTATCAGATTGATTTTAGTTCCAGTGAGCTGGAATGCAAGAAAGTTATGTGATTTGTATATCTCATATTTTGGCCTTCTCTGCATATATGTCATTTACATAGAAAGATTTTGATGGTGTGAATAAACAGAAACATGTACATTTTTTTCGCAGAGAGTTCATGCACAAATTAGTGGGCATACATTTTTAACTGTGTTTTTGTTTATCTGTTTCTGTTTGTATTTTTTTCTGCCCAGTTTGAGCAGATCCGTTCTCGGCTGAGTGAGGACGTCCAACAGTTCAAGGTCGCCAAGAAGGAGTTCCGCAAAGCCTACAGCAGCGGGGTCGCTCATCTGAAGGTCAGAATTTAGATTTTTCCTGGCGTTCAAAATCTTTTTTTCTGAAAACCTGCACCAGTGCAGGTAACATCTAAAATAACCTGCACCATGCCAGACAAGTTTTACCTCTGATTACAAAGTATGGATTACACTGAATACTGTTGAAGCCATTGCCATTATTTCTTTTACAATATTATGTCTTAACAGTGAATACTGCTAATGAAAATCCACATACATGTACATGTTTGTACATTGTACATCAGATCTACATTTTGTACATAAGCCCAGTACTTGGCCTTGTGCAGACCTCAGAAATACCTGCACAACTCCAATTTTACTAGCATATGCAGGTGGTATTTGGGGCATTTTTGAGTTTATCTGTACAAGTGCATATAGAAAAGCTCTATCACCAATACCTCGGTCATTAAAGTGTCCTGTGATCACACATGCATTATTTATTTTTGCTCGCTTTAACTTAGACTTTGATTGTATCACAGCAATGAACTTAATGCATGTTTGTTAACCTTGCATGCTATCATTTCACACACACTATACCTGCACATCACCCAGGGTACTGGAAGGTGGAAGTTACCCATGCCATCTGCACATGAGGTACATGTACACACTCTGCCTGTGGTGAACACATAACCCCTTCTGTATAGACTCAGATCCTACTCTAGACTTTGCAGTGCATTTGATACTGAAAATTGTAAACCTTTTGCAGTGGTCTTATTTTCAATGAAAGAGACAAATAAGGAAAACTATTCCATGAGTTTTCCTTAAAAAAGATGTTAATTGAGGCTGATGCACATAACATTAAGCATGCCCGTAGCCAGGATTTTGAATGGGGGGGTTCTTCCCACTGCTTGAGGGGACCTCAAGTGCCGAAGCGCGAGGTTCTATGGAGGGTCCGGGGGTATACTACCCCGGAAAATTTTGAAAAATGAACCTTCTAAAATGGCATTTCGTGCATTTTTGAGAGGATTTCCAAGATAAAATCAGAGATAAATTTTTATTCAATGACAAAGGGGGCAGTTTTTCTACGAATCCAGTCCATCTTTTCAAGGAAAATCTTGGACCTTTACATAAAAAGTGAACCTTTACATAAAAAGTGGACCTTTGAGCCTTTTGGGGGGTTCTTCCGAACCCCCCCTGGCTACGGGCATGTTAAGACTATTTAGGTTTTTATTCCCTGAGCTCACGCATGTGTCCCCTAGATTCACTTTTTTACAAAAAAAAATTGATAACTTAACATTGTAGTGTGCTGTATTCATACATAACACTTTCTCCCTCTTCAGACACTTTTTTATTGCAGTGAAGATTTGTGACTACCTGGATTTCAATGACTCATTCTTCATTCTATCTGAATACTTTATCTAGTTGTAACTTACATCTTAATACAGTTACCTACTTTGAATTTCTTGATTGAAGAATATTTTGGACCTGTCAAAAACTGTCTCCTTTAGAACTGAAAGGTTTGGACTCAAGTTTGCCTGTGGTGTAGTGTTGTACACATCTGTTCATCGCAAGTGTCATCATCATTCTCAAGAAAATTGTTGTTTTCTAGGACACCAAGAAGTCCTTCAAGAGGAAAGCGAAGGAGAAGATGAAGGAAGTCCGACACTCGATGCTTAAGGAGGAGGAGGGAGGAGACGGAGGTAAGAAACAGTAACAATTGTTTCCTCCAGATTCAATGATTACCGGTAGTTCCGATCCAAACAAAATCTTTTGTAACGACAGTTACTGTAAGTTGTGAAATGTTTGCGGTGGTTTTATTATGTTTACCGAAGGAAAACATATTGTTTTTACTCAGTTTCTTCCTCGTCTTCTGTTCAAAACACTAACCTCTGACCTGGCCAATGACATGATTTGTTGACGTCTGTCACCACTGTGACTGGCAATTTCATGGTCTGCTCTACTCCTGTCACCATATATACTCGTAGTACATGTATGTGAATGTGTTTGAGTGAAAATTAACAGGGCAGACCATGTCCGAAGGTAAACATTATGCATTTGCTTTGCAAATGTTACTTCTCTAGTTTTCAGTTGTATTTGAATGTGTTCTCTAAATGCAAAATCAAGACACCAGAACCAAGTGATCTTCAAACTTATTCCTCATACAGCAAAATAAAACTACCACAAAAGGAAATGCACAGTTATCTTAACTCCTACCCTCTGTTGTTTTCCTCCCCACAGAAGAGGATGAGACGTTTATTGAGGTGAATATCTCGGGTTCGAAGCACCCCCCTCCCACCCTGCCTGAGGAGCCTGAAGGTCTGAGTCATCAGCAGGTTGTACGCAGACACATCCTGTCATCTATGTTAGAGAGTGAGATGTCCTACATCAACTCACTTCACAGACTTATACAGGTAAGTAAGCCACACAGAAATATTTATTAGGCCACACCAATTTAATTTTATGGATGACATCCTCTGAAGACCCCCAAACTAGTGCACGCTGGCGAATAAAAAAAAATTCCGGCCAAAAATAAAAATGCTACTAAACCACAGGAATACAAAGCTGGTATTGTGAATTTGCGACAGTACTTAGCAACGTTTACGACATGCTGGCTTTTTGCGGCATTTATGAATCGGTACTGTACTTATGTACTGAATTTTTGAGTCGTGGAGCTTCGAATTCGATAGCCTGGGTGCCTGGCTCCATTTTGTCGCTGACTACCATGGACTACCCAGGCCTAGAGCCAGGCCAGAGCCTCGTTGGAGGTGATGCTTTTTTTTTTGAGGGCGACAGGCAAAAATCAATGCGTGCGCGGATGTCATTCATAAAATTAAGTCAGTGTGGCCTCACCTGAAATTCTGGAATAAAGTATTCACCTTTTAAACGTTTCAAAATCTGAAAGTGTCTCATTCCAGTCAGGATAAGTATGTTGTCCACACAAATTCAGAAGGTTGCTGTTGGAATGGTGCCAATGGACCTATACCATTATTACGTCACAGTTTGTTTACCGCAATGCATGCCGGTCAATCGACGTTTATATTGTACAGTGGTGCGTAGCGCGGTGTGTGTTTGTGTAGTGTTAGCCTAATATAAGGCTTTTAATACAGTACTACTTTCGTCTAATGTCAAAATTAAATCACCCATGCGGCATGTAATGCTGTGTCAACACAACTAGACGCAGCAAAAATCAGACATACCTTACTTTGAAAATTTTGAAATGATCTTTATTCTTTAACTGACCATTCTTTAGAACAGGTAAACAAACTGTGAGGTAATAATGGTATAGGTCCATTCATCCATTAAGATATAATAAGATTCAATCTTCTAAATCAAATTTGTAAAAGTGTGTAAAGATACATCAGATTGTCTTGTTCATCCATACTTTATAGACTATGATGAATATTCAGAGAAATAACTCAAAATTCGCCAACATACATGTACAGTGTAGGTCTCTTAGTCTAAAGAGACGCAGATGCTAATATCTTTATAAGTTTGCATTGTGCTAAAGAAAGGACCGTCTCCTAGGGGTGTCCCTACCTGACGTGTGAAGAGACTATGGGTATAAAATGTCCACCTTGGGTTATTTCGATGTCATTTTTCAGTAACTATGTCTACTTAATGTTCTCCTGACTGGCCTTTGTTCAGCAATGTCTAAATCATGTCTAATGTGTGCTAGACGTTTTATAGACATTTTTGGCTCTACCAGTGGACCTTTTGACCATACTGTTAATAAATGATTATAGTAAGGCAACAGCAAGTAAATTTTATGGATGACATCCTCTGCAGACTCCAATTCTAATGCGAGCGGGCAAAAAAAAACAAGGTTCCTACATTTTGAAATTTTGACTCAATCATTGTACAAGTGGTTTTGATTCAGTAGGAACGCTACATATACACAGCCAACATCACATATCACCGCATCAGAGTAAGAAACAAACATTAAATCAGAGCCTTTTCTTGTCTCTCTTTATAGTTATCTGCCATCCACCTTCCGGCATGGCAACAGACATCTTTGCGCATTTTCTGCATGTTGACCACTGTCAGAGGACAATAAAATTTCTTTTTTTTTTTCCAAAATCAGGCGAAAATTAATGCGCGTGCTGATGTCATCCATAAGAATTACTTGCTGTGGCCTTACATGAATTGTTTTGTGTTGGTAGATGTATGAGAAACCCCTGACAGACGTGGACCCGCCGATCATAGAGAAGCGAAAGGTCCGTACGATATTCTACAAGGTCCGGGAGATCCTGCAGTGTCACACCATGTTCCAGATCGCGCTGTCTGGTCGGGTGGCAGAGTGGGACCAGAGCGAGAAGATCGGAGATGTCTTCGTGGCCTCAGTAAGTCCTTAAGCTGTTTTTCTTATGTCTGTAACTCAAAAATTATTGTTTATTTCCCCTTCCAGTTTGAGTCATAATGGAAGCTTTCTATCCGTTATATTGAAAGTGTACGTGGTGTCGGTGGCGCAACGGTTAGAGTGTTGGACTCGGAACCGAGAGGTCCCGGGTTCGATACTCACCATGGCCCGACGTTGTGCCCTTGGGAAAGGCACTTTACACGATTTCCCCACCTATACGGTGGAGTGACGCCCACCGAGCCTCTTAGGCTGATCTGTCTGACAGTGTCTGGGTGCCAAAAACACCTTACGGATTTGGTGCGCCGATGTGACGACATCTCATATTGGCCACTGAGAGCCGTAAAATTTAAAAAAAAATTTATATCGAAAGTAATAATTCTTCTTTGTTCACATAAGACATGATTGTTAGACTGTTTATTTCTCCTCTCAGTTTAAAGTATTAGTCATTGAAGCTTGCTATGGCCATTTTTTTTGCAGTAAATTGATGTTTTCCACACAGTAAACTGCCATAAGGCATAAGAATTAGCTTGCATGTTATGTACAAGCTGCATATTGCAGCGTAAGACCAGACTCACTTTAAACATTGCTTCTTCTCTGACTTATTCCAGTTTTCCAAGTCAATGGTGTTGGACGTCTACAGTGCTTACGTGAACAACTTCAGCACAGCCATGGAGACAGTTAAGAAAGCCTGTGCTACCAAACCTGCTTTCTTGGAATTCCTTAAGGTACTGCACAAGCTGATGACACTGTCTAGTATATTAGTACAGTGTGCAAAATACCTGGTTGCCCAGTTGCCCCGGGCAACCAAATTTTACTTGGGGCAACCTATTTTTGACCCTAGGTAGCCCAGTGTGCTACCC